AAATGTACCAATGAAAATGAGAAGATTTGATACTAAAAGAAAGGGCAAAATAAAGAGCGCCACCTAGTCCTTTGTCGAAGGACGAGGAAAACTCGACACTTGACCTATGAAAAGATTGGTTTAAAAAGCATAATAAATAGGCTAAACTTAAAAAAACCAATAAAATCATATCTATTTATATCAGATTTATCTTCTCTTATTAGTTACCAGAAGAAACGAAGATCAAAAATTAATCAAAAAAGAGAAGAATGAAGAAATTGAGAATTTCATGCACCAAAAAGATTTTCAACGGAAAATGTATGCCCCAATAAGGAAAATATAGAGTTAAAATAAAAGTTATCTTCTGCAAGAAAAGGTTAAGAAGATGTACAAGACAATGAGGGAAAACATATAATTAAAGGTAGATTTTAAAGAACATGGCTAAAGGGTGAGTCAAAATTTATGTTAGAGAAACTGTGCTTAAATATCAAGATAAATTAAATTTAAAGAATAACCGTTAAAAGTGGCAGACCTCCAATTACTATAGTAAAAATTAATTCCATAGATGAATAAGAAAATCATCATGAAAAATAAGAATAAACTGAAGGGCATACACTATTTTATTTAAAATGATCCTTAGTGAGAAGCGCCCACCAAAGTGGCGTGGCAGTGGCAAGTAGCACGCGTCTAGCATAATGTAACCAATTATAACGAATGATTTGAATGAATGACGTTACTGTCATATTGGTGTAAACTGAATCATTCGTTTTCATTGGTTACATTATGCTAGACGCGTGCTACTTGCCACGCCACTTTGGTGGGCGCTCGCCCTAACAGAAAACGAGTCAAGATACAAAAATAATTTAGGGAAGTCAATATAGAAGAAAGGAAAAAAGACAAAGAGGTCAAAGTTTCATACCAAAAAGTCTGTACAGACAAAGAATGGTTGGAATGTAACAAAAACTGGAGAAAATGAACCGAAAGGACAAGGAAATATGATGATGTTAAGTCACTGGAATATAAGATAGAGCGCCCACCAAACTGGCATGGCAAGTAGCACGCGTTTAGTTACTTAAAATGTAACCAATGCAAACCAATGATTAGAATGAATGACGTCACTGTCATTTCGGTGTGCGCTAAATCATTCGTTTTCATTGGTAACATTTTAAATAACATGCTAGACGCGTGCTACTTGCCATGCCAGTTTGTTGGGCGCTCCACTTAAGTGGAACAAAGGAAGAAGGGGCATTAAAAACTTGGGTTATAGTTAGAAATATAGAATTGATGTGATGGCGATGTAAGAGACCAATGAAAAAGAAATTTCTGTATGCGAGTGGTGAACTTCATATTTTTCAACAGTGGGAATGATAAAAGATAGTTTTTAGTAATGATGAAAATAGTAGAACAGGTAATAGATTGTGCCTTCTGAGAATCAGGGAAAACGACAGAAAAAATTATATAAATGAATAACAAAACAAGATTCTAAAACACGGAGGCGAAAGTATAACCCTAGAGATGACAAAACTTATACAAAAACTAATATTGCACTGCAATATACCAGACTCATGGAGAAACAGCATCACGATATCAATGTTCAAGAAAGGGAATAGAGAAGACCCCAACAATTATAGTGCTATAAATCTACTGAACACCGCATTTAATCTTACAAAAAAAGTTCTAACCAACAAAATCAATAAACTAACAACTTTATCAGATGAACAACAAGGATTCAGATCCGAAAGATCCTGCGTAGACGCCGTATTTGTACTAAGACAAATCACAGAAAAGGCCATCGAGTACAATAAACCAGCATATCTATGTTTTATAGACATGAAAAAGGCTTTCGATAGCATCCAAGTCAAAGACGTCTTATATCTACTGTATAAAAGAAACATACCAATCAGTATTAAACAAACCATCAAAAACATCTACTTTCATAATCGAATACAGGCAAAGGTAAATGGAAAACTAACACAGTGTATATAGCGGAGTCAAGCAGGATGACCCGTTAAGCCCACTTCTCTTTAATATAACAATGGAAGAAATAATACAAGCAGTACGTAAAAGTCATGGCTACAGAACAAATAAATTCAAATACTATGTTATGCAAACGACGCCGCATTAATCGACGAGGTAGAAGACGAACTCTGACAGAAGATCTGACACATCTAACACGAGACAACTACTAGAAACAACAGAGATGAAAATATTCCGACGAATATCAGGGAAAAGATTGTTGGATAGGGAGAGAAGCGAAAACATAAGAAGAGACATAAATGGATGGGTGAAAAAAAAACGGAAACAGTAGGGGAACGAATAAATTAGTAGAATGGCAAAGGATAGGATATTACGAATAGCACGAGATAAGTCACCAAATGGACGAAGCAGTATTGGCAGACCAAGAAAAAGATGGTGCGACAATTTAAATAATTTAGGAGGCAAATATTGAAGAAGAAACAGGCTTTAAAGCCTACATAAGAAGGAAGAAGAAGAAGAGTAACTAAATAAATAATAATATCAGAATATTTAGGACATGTTTAACATCAAAATGATTACCGAATACGAACAATGTCTCAATTGTAAATTCCTAGACGGAGTAGGAGAGAAAGACCTGGTGGCAGACAGTTGCGAGATGTCTGTGAAGCTAAGGTGGCAGAAAATAACCAAATATATTGAAAAACTAATTTTTTTGTTCTTTATAGAAACTGAATTTCTGCAGCCATTTTTAAGAATCAACACAAAGGCCTATCTTAATTTGATTGTTCTGATATTATTTTCCTGGGGCCTGTTTTTCATTCCCTTATTAAAAAAATATTCATTGGCCTATATCTACTACAAAATTTGCACCAGAATTTTTCCTAGTTGTTAATTTATGTTTATAACTTGAGTCATAGATAAATAATATTGATTTGACTGGATTATATTATTAACAAAACTAGTATACCATGTAGATTTATGAACCTGTCATCGTAAAAAGCCTTACGCAGTGGTCCTACAGGTTTTGTAATTTTATTTGTTTTCTACAACCGGTAAACTTAGCGAAATGGTGAAAACAAGGCAGCTACGAATCAATGAAGTCTTTGTTTACTATAAAAACGTGTTTTGTTTTTATCCATTTTTATTACCTACGAAAAAACATTATAAGATTACAAATTGAGGCCGACGTTTTTGTCGTTGTTTAAATACTGGTATTTGGAATGTAGTGAAACAGCTGTTTATTATTATTTTAAATGGGTCAATGTTGGTAGTTTTATATTTTTAATAGAAATGTAGAATATAAATTAATATGTATGATAATAGTACAGAGCTCCAAAAGGAGAAAAACAAAAATAAATCATTTAATACTGAATACAGCTTAATTTTCTTTTTGTGTATACATGATGACATAACTGTCTATGCAATTTGCCTTCTTAGTTCCATAGCTAAATTGTACGAACAGCTTGTGAAAAACCTTCTGGTTTTAGGGCCAAAAGGTCCACCACAGATGAGGTTACAGAAGTAACCTGTTTAGTCACGCAGGATACAAATAGATGGATGGCTCTCATCTTGCTTTACGTCAAGAATGCCGTTACCATAGGAAAACATCATCTCCAGGGTGAGAGAATTGGGCGTTAGTGAGTACCTGGTCAACTTGTTTGACAGATACTTTACTAACAGGTCCATAACTGTGGAGTGTTCTGTACGATAAGATGTTGAGGCTAGAGATGCAAGGGGATGCACTCTTAGGAAGCGCACATAGCTTATGCGGCTAACACAGCCCTGCGTCATATTAGTAGGTGGATCAGAGAGAACGATCTACAGCTAATACCTCAGAAAACTGAGGTGGTAGTTCTCAAAGATGGCCGAGACAAATCCTCTCTTCGCTTTATAGTGGAAGGGGTGGAGGTTGCACCTGTTAAACAGCTTAAGTGTCTCGGAGTCTGGCTGTCGGAAGGACTAAGGTTCGGAGAACACATCCAAAAGACAATGAAAAGGCGAACCGAAGTCTGGAAGCGTTGGTACGGCTGATGCCGAACATTGGAGGCCCAGATAGCACCAAAAGAACTCTGCTGAATGGAGTTTTCCAGTCGGTGGTGACCTATGCTGCCCTCGTGTTGTATAGCGCCCTAAATACTGCGAAATACGCCAAGTTGATGGAGACTTCGTAAAAGCGAAAGCTTATTAGGGTATCTAGCCCCTACAAGACAGCCTCAAATGAGGCTCTGTATGTCACTGGATTGGTGATACCGACCGTCTTGTTGTGCGAAAAGCGAGTGAGGGTGTATGCGAGAAGGATGGATCGAAATGATGATGAGGAAGAAAGAGAGAGAGAACGATAAAGAAGTGGCAGAGAAAATGAAATATAGTGGAAAAGCAAGGTGGACAAAGAAGTCTATTTCCATAGACCAATTTTCAGACCATAGACCATAAGATAGACCAATTTTCCTCGGCGGACTATACTGTTTGTGGGGTGCCAGACGCTCCCGCCCACATTTTTAACTGCCAAAAATGGGCGAATGAGAGGGGAGGCTTTGAGAGGCGAATTGATTTCAGGCTGGATGAAAGAAACATGCTGAACATAATGATGAGGGAAGAAGTAAGCTGTGTGATCTCCGGGATGATGAAGAAGGAGCAGGAGAACCGATGAGAAAATTGAATCAGGATCAGAAATCTTCTTTCTTTTTTCTCGAAAGCCAAGAACCTGTAAACACCAATTTAATAAATTTTATACCATTTTATAAAAAGAAGTTTTTACTTTATTGTAAGTTTTTTTTAAACTGGTAGGTATAGAGCCAACTACTGGAAATTTTCTTTATTAAAAGTTTAAATTGTTAAGATGAACACCTGAAGAATGTGTTCAATAGTTATAAAAAATGTAAACAAATCAATGTTGATTAATAAGAAAGTTTCATTTCATTATTATTAGAGTACAATATCCATAAATGTAAAGGCGTCCGTGTTTTTTTTGCCAAATAGTATATTTAAAAGACAAAAACCAATCAATCTTTTTAGATTTTACTTAAAAAAATACATATTTTTGTCTTAGCTAACATTTTTATTTTCGTTGGTTTCTTTTTGCAATGCTGAATCACGAAGAATATCTACAATGTGCCACATTGATCCATTCGTCGGATTTTTAGGTATTTCCAGAATTTGTGTAAATAAGTTATATAAATCAACAGACCGGAACGGTGGAACTTGATGCTGTTTCTTGATTCTTGGTCCTCTAGCCATGAAGAACGGCCTCATAGCTTCTACTGTATTATCATAACCATGGACTCCAAACTCGGTACTATTTGTTACTAAAAAGAAGGGTAGTAAGTTATTAATTTAGATGAATAAATTATTGATGAATTAAAAATTTTAAATTTTGAATAAATAACTAGTTTTGCATAAAAACTGTCATCTGTCTAATTTTGATATAACTGTCTACCTCTACATCCTTGTAATGGGTGGCTACTCTCATATGATCCCGGTATAAGACAGATCTACTTCAGGGACCTGCCCACTCAAGCCATGGCCATCTCCTAACCCACTAAGGAGAATGTCCTAACCCAAACTTCCTACCAAATGCTTATAAATTCTTTTAAATATCCCCCAGGAGAAGTTCAAACGCGAAAAAAATTACTGGAGAAGGCAAGGGAAAACCATCCTAACTAAATTTCCTTCGTGTCCATTCCCTTTGTTCTATGTTCAGTAAATCTAACATGGAGAAGAGCAAGGAAGAAAGTATTTCTGATAATGGGTTTTGGAAACCAAAGATAATGTGAGGATATTACACCAAATCTCTGCAACTTAAGACATGTAACAGTACCCTTGCAGATTTCTGAGGATACAATTCGAATATGTACATAAAACATTAAAAGTATCTATGCAGTAAGAAAACTCGTAGAAGATAAGAAGACTTAGACTAGCTCAGACAGAGAGTTTATTGCCTTATTGAAACTAACGTCAAGGAGACTTCATAAAATATGAAAAGAAGTCTATCTCTCTTGCCTTGTTCTATTTAGTTTTAGCATGTGCCGCAGTATATCACTATCATTAGTTACATAAGTGAAATATTGTCATTAGAAGATGTACTATCATTTTAAAGATTTTTGTAAAATAGAACGGACCTCCAATAAATGTATATCTTTGTATACATATAAGACTTACGCTTCTTCGTCGCTCGAACTTCAAATGCGCTTGTTGCATCATTTGTAACTAAATAAGTACTGTATTATTTTTTAAACAAATAAATTTTTACGCAGTTTTTTATTGTGTAATTTTGATTTTGTTCTTTTACTATTTTTTTAATTTGCAGTAAAGTAAGGGGTCTTCCAATAAGAATGTCCTGATGTTTTTTTAAACAAAAACGGTAAAAATTGCTGAAAATAAAAAAAAAATATTGCAAAATATAATAGATAACAATTATGGTCCGAAAAACACATCATTCAAATGTCCACCGCAACTGCGTTTGCAGGAGCGAATTCGATGAACCCAATTTTCGGTCAATTTATGCAAAATATCCGCATTAATCTCACGAATGGTGTGCTCTATGTTCCTCTTTAAGTCTTCAATAAATTGTGGTTTGTTCACGTAGACCAATGACTTAATATAGCCCCATAAAAAATAATCCAACGGTGTTAAATCGCAGCTTGTTGGAGGACAAGCATCTAGTCGAAGTTGCTGAATTTTGCTGGGATCTCTGGCATCAAGAGAAGTCAATGTTTCCAGGAACTTTTCCTTCAATATATCAATGGTTGGGGCAGTAGTGTGACATGTGGCACCGTCCTGTTGGAAAAACATGCCATTCAAATCCATTTTATCCAACTAAGGGGACAAACAATTTCGTTATCATCGTTCGATAACTTTCACCGTTGACTGTTATACCATGTCCGAAAAAATAAGGTCCGATGATGCCACCATGCCATAAACCACACCAGACAGTGACTTTTTCTGGATGCAAAGGCTTCTCAAGAATCTCATGTGGATTATTTTCACTCCAAAAACGACAATTTTGCTTATTCACAAAGCCGTTTAACCAAAAATGAGCTTCATCGGAAATATTATTTTTTGAAAAAATCGCCATCATTTTCGAGTTTGTCTAGAGCCCAATCAGCGAACAAACGACGCTTATGATGGTCAAGTGGCTTCAGTTCTCGAGTCAGAACAATCTTTTAAGGGTGTAGGTCTAAATCTTTTTCTCAGAATTCATTAAGTTGTCATTCTGGTGAGTCCAAGTTCTTGAGAACGAGGATTTATGGACACATTTGCATTCTCCGCTACACTGGCTCTTACAGCAGCAATATTGTCCTGAATTCTTGCATTTCGGCGTCTAGGTGGTTTCGTATCGTGCAGAGTAAATTCACATTTAAACTTTTCCACGATTCGACGAATTACACGCACATCAGGACGATGATTTGGTCCATAACTTTCACGTAATGCACGATAGGTATTCACAAAATAATGATTATTAGCATACAATTTTGGGATAATTTTCAAACGTTGTTTAAGCGTATATCTTGCCATGGTAATTTCTTAGAGTATACTTAATACAAACGTCAACCAGTGACAGTTCTACCATTTTCAAAATGGCCGTTATAACATTTCAAAAACAGGACGTCCCTATTGGGAAATCTTTTATATTCTTGTATGAAAGTGCGCCAAAAATTTGTTTTATCTGCTACGCTCAAAATCCTAAAACCGGCCCTGCGCTTACTTAAACCAGAATCTTTTTCTTATTTTTCTTCCTTCATACATGTAAGCTTTAAAGCCTGTTTCTTTTTCAATATTAGCCTCCTGGATTGTTTAAATTATCGCACCATCTTTTTCTTGGTCTATCAATACTTCTTCGTCCATTTGGTGACTTATCTCGTACTGTTCGTACTATCCTGTCCTCTGACATTCTACTAATGTGTTCGTTCCACTCCTGTTTCCGTTTTGTCGCCCATTCATTTATGTCTTCTATATTGCATGTTCTTCTTATGTTTTCGCTTCTCTCCCTATCCAATAGACTTTTTCCTGATATTCGTGGGTGTATTTTCATCTCTATTGTTTCTAGTAGTCGTCTCAATTTAGATGTGTAAGGTCTTGTCTACGCAGTGTATGTTAATATAGGTCTAATTGCTGCTTTATAGATTCTTGTTTTTGTGTCTTGTCGTAGGTGTTTGTTCTTCCAAATTGTGCCATTAAGAGATCCCGCCGCTTTACTTGCTTTTAAGCTTTGTTGTCGTACTTCTTTTTTTTTTAAGTATATAAAGCCTTTAAACCCTTAAAGCCTTTTTTAAGTATATAAAACATAGATATGCTGGTTTATTGTACTCGATGGCCTTTTCTGTTTTAGTATAAATCCGGCGTCTACGCAGGATCTTCCGGATCTGATTTCTTGTTGTTTATCTGCTAAAGTTTATCTGCTAAAGCTTAAATGCGGTGTTCAATAGATTTATACCTCTATAATTATTGGGGCCTTCTTTATCTCCATTGCTATCATTACGCTCTTTCTACATGCTCTGGTATCTTGCAGTGCAATTTTGTTTTAGAAGCTCGTTGGTTTTTCCGTCTGGTCCTGGTGATTTTCTATTTTGAAGTGAATTTATGGCTATCTCTACTTCCTGAAAACTTATTTCTATTTCGTGTCTTATGTCAGGTACGTTATTGTGTTGATTATTATTTTCCTTTCCTTTAAACAGTTGCGTCAGGTATTTTTCCCATTCGTTTGCTGGTATGTTATTGCATTCCTTCAATTCTGCCATTTCTTTGCGTTGGTTTCTTGTGAATATTTATATTTGTTTTTGTGTACCGTAGAAGTCGCCTTCTATCCTTTGTGTAAATTGTTCCCAGTGTTTATTTTTTGTTCTTCTTACCATCTGCTTTGTTTCATTTTGTATTTTTCTATAGGTGCCTCGGGATTTTGAAGTATTTGATGTTATGTACTTTGTGTAAGCCTCTAGCTTCTCTTTACATTTCTCTTTTATTTTTTTCTGAACCATGGTGTATTGTTGTTATTTCTTTTATTCAGTATGACTTTGCGTTTTCCTAGAGCTTCTGTACTGCTGTACCATCTCTGCTAGCCTCCTTTGGTACATTTCTATTGTAGAGTCGTTCCACAGTGATTCTACATTGAATTTTTCCTCGGTGATTTCCTGTAGAGAATGTTTTGGTGTTATTTTTATTTTTGTTAGTACTAATTTGTGTTCACTCCCTGCGCCTGCTGAGCTTAAACCAGAATATTGATTACAATAATTATATTCTGGATAAGCTTTTATTTGTATTAGGACTATTTGATCCCACACAGTTACAGATGTTTTGAAGAATTGTCCAGTCCAGATTTTTTATCAATTATTACTGCGACATATTAAAAACTAAGAAATTATATGATTTACGATTGTTAAAAGCGCCCCCTAGACACAGCCACTGAAATGTTTATCTTAAATTGCTTATTGATTGAAAATCTTATAATTATTTTACTTTTGCAACGTATAATAGTTTAAATAAATCTAGTAAACACTCAAATATTATAACGGAGATATTGGTTTTATTAAAAAAATTTATAAATTTATACATTTCTTCACTGTAGCTACTCTAAATTTTTTTTATGGTGCCCTCTATTGACCAGTATCTCAATTTCTAGGCGAGATCGTGACAACTGTATGCTTATAAGATCGCCAAACAAAACTTTGCTAATTTATTAATAGATGACGAGGTAAAAAATAATTTTAAATAATTTATTTCTCTTCGGATGAAGACGAAGAGGATATACCTTTGGCACTAAAGAAATCTATTTATAAAGATTACAAGAACAAAAGTGTTTAGGCCCATAATACACAAAAACTTGTATAAATAATAGTATAGTAGAAACAGGGTAGAATGAGCGGTTGAAAATCAACAGCCATAGTTTCTTTGTATCCAAGGCAGATATACAAACATTTTTATTTATTATTACTAAAGCAAATTTAGATAAATACATAGAGGGAGATGATTATGAATAATTAAATAAAAAATAAAATTGATGAAGTGTAATATTTTCAACAAACTTTAATCAGGAATTTATACTTACAAGTTAAATTATGTCTTCGGCCGTATTTGCGAGCGTCAATTATTAAATCCTCCAATCCATATCCAACATCGGCCATCACAAGAAGATCAGGTGTTCGTGTATTATTTTTATAATGCCATCGTCTGGGAAAACTCCTTTTTCTATAAACCTTAAAATGTCCGTTTTTTCGGGATCCCTCCTTCAATGAATTGTATAATTCTAGTTCAAAACCTAAAAGATAATGTGGGTAATAATATGCTACTAAATGCTGTTTACTTTCGTAAACTAATTTTCGAAACCAAATTCAGATTCTTGCTTTTATCTGTGCCTTCTAAGAATTGCAAGGCAAAACAGACGTTGATAAAGATGTTATTAGAGATATAGGGAATCTAAAATTTGCATTCCACATATCATATCTCCTCAACTAAGCAAAAATCATTAGCGAATTCGTTTCTAGTACTCGTACAAGATTAACGCATAAATCTGAATTTGGTTTCGAAAATTAGTGTACGGATTTTATAACAGATGTGGCTATTTGCGGCCATTCGAAGCCATGTTGCTTCCTAAGACAGAAGAGATTTATTTTCACGTTCAGAGCGACTGTGAATTTCCGTTCTGAAGAAGCCTATTAGGCCGAAATACATATAAGCGGATACACAGGTGCACTATACGTGAAATCAAATGTTAACTGTGTTTTCCTTTTTCCTTTTTGCTGTTTACTTTCTTCATTTTTACTTCCTTTATACATCTTTTGCTTGTATTGTTATAACAAAATATTACACTTACCTTTCTTTGGATAGATTTGAAAGATAGGGCTAGATCCTAGCAGGGTATATGTCCCTGGTTTCATATACTGGGTTATGTTAATTACTTTAGATACTGGTACACTCAATATACCATGATCGCTTAGATGGACCACATTAGCTTTTTCTGATAAATTGTGTTTTACTAATTGATCCTACAAAAATCATCATATTAAGCTAAAAAACTAGAGAACTAGTGGATTACAAGTACCAGGCATCATGTCACATTAGAGCCACTGTCTAAAAAGATCTGATTTTGAATAACAAGTGACGTAGAGTAAGTCGCAATTAAAAAAATATTAATAAACGAGCGATCTTTATTATGCATGATCTAAATAAAGAAATATAATGAGGCAACAATCAAAGATTAGAACTTAAGAAGAAAAAAAGAAGGCAAAATCTGACGAAGTTAAATTTACTCAGCTAATAGCTGACGAAGGAGTTAAGTAAAGGAGGTTAAGTAAGCGAAAGATTAGAAAAATCAAAACATTAGTCACAATGTACGAGGAAAAATATTAGTTTTTTTTAACAATAAACTAGTCTATACTATAATAATAATTTGCGATGTGCGGACGATACAGTACTCCTAGCTTCTAGTTAAGAAGATCTGCAAACACTACTTGATAGTGTCGTTGAGAGTTGTAGGGAGGCAGGTCTGTAAATAAAAATACTCGTAATAAGTAAACAACAGCATATAAAAACCGTCTATATATGTAAATAATACCAAACTTGAGCAAATTGATAAAACCGTTGGACTTGGACAGCAATTAAATTGTAACGCAGAAAGTCACGGCGAAATTAGATCTAGGATAGAGCAGGCTATAGCTGCTTTTAGACGGATGTCCAAGGTGTTATGGAAAAGAGACCTAAAATTAGCATTGAGGATCCACCTACTTCGCTGCTACGTGTTCTCGGTCTTACTTTATGATGTCGAGTCCTGGACTGTGAATAAAATCGATCTAAATCGCCTTGACACTTTCGAAAAGTGGTGCTATAGAAGAATTTTAAAAGTATCCTGGGTGGAGAAAATTCGAAACTCCACAATACTAGAACGTCTCAGCAAGACTATTGAGATCATAAAAAGCATCAAGCAGAGAAAACTGGAGTATTTCGGGCATGTAATGAGAGGTCCCAAATATAGGTTACTACAAAATATCATGCAAGGAAAAATAGCAGGCAAAGGCAGTCCTGGACGAAGAAGAACCTCATGGTTAAAGAACTTGCGACAGTGGTATGATTGAAAGGACATGGTACATGAAGAAGAATAAACTAAACTAACTATTTTTATACTATTTTTTTTGTAGTTATGCATGATATTACCTCAATATATTTTGTGAGAGTGTCCAATTTTTTTAATTCCTCTATGAACTGTGTTGAATTTGAACCATAGACATGTGATGGATAATCAATTCCTTCAACATATAGCATAACTAAATTTGCAGGTTTCACTGGATCGGTTAACCAAGATATCACCTAAAATTTGCAATTTTAGAGGAATTTCAAAAATTATCATAGATGTAAGATATATTGGATAATGAAAGAGTACATAAAAAATATGCTTACCGTATCGACTTTTTGAACGTGTGTGAAATTTCGGGTAAATTTTTGGTTGTACGTTATGTCTTTACCTTGGTAAGGAAAATCTGAACCTGGCCACATAAATGAGGCAGAATATCTGCCGTCTCCTTGTGCTTCATTCCATCGCTGAAAAAGTGCGAAAATAAATAAATTGAGATAAGTAACTACTTAACTGTTTTTTTCGAATTAAATTTTTTTATTATTTTATAGTTTTAGACTATGTTTTAGAAGCACTAGAAATTAATTTCGAGTACAGTCAACAGTACGGACTAAACATTAATACCCACAAAACGAAACAAATGATTATCAGCAAGGATAATATAAACGGGGCTCATCTATACATTAATGGAACGCAGATAGAGCGAGTAAAACCGTATTGCTACCTGGGAACTATTATAAACGAACAGTGGAGCAATGTACAGGAAATAAAGTGCTGCATAGGAAAGGCAAGAACGGTCTTTAACAAAATGAGCGCCATCTTCAAAAGTCACAACATATCTCTTGATACAAAAATGAGACAATTGAGATGCTATGTTTTCTCTGTGTTGTTGTACGGGGCGGAGGCATGGACGCTTACAGACACCACTATTAAAAAACTTGAAGCATTTGAGATGTGGCTTTATAGAAGAATGCTGAGAATATCATGGACAGCAAGGATCACGAACAAGGAAGTTCTAGAAAAAATTAAGAAGGAACCAGAGATTGTGTTTACGATCAAACGCATAAAATTGCAATATCTGGGACACGTTATGAGAAATCAGCACCGTTACTCCCTGCTACAGTCTATATTGCAAGGTAAAGTCAAAGGTAAGCGAGGACCCGGTAGAAGGAGAATATCATGGCTGCGGAATTTAAGAAAACCTCAACGGAGCTGTTTCGAGCCGCATCGAGCAAGGTTATGATTGCCAATATGATTTCCAACATCCGAAATGGATAGGAACCAGAAGAAGAAGAAGAAATTAATTAAAAAACTCAAGTTCATTATAATATTATATCAAAATATTGATATAATAATAAGATATTATCTAGCAGGTTAAGCGCCAAGGATTTTTCACCAAAATGTTCCCTTGGACCAAAGCAATATTAAACAAAAGCAATAACCATAAGCAATTTTGTGTGGTGTCCGCCATGACCCGCCGGAGACGTTCAAAACGGGCAGACACCATATTAATCGAGGTGTCCGATTAATATGCTGTTATTTCTGTTAAACCGATTTGAGTTACTTCTGAAAATCTGGCACTTGTCAGATGACTTCAAGTGCCCAGAAGGAGACCAAGAGTGTATCAAGTGCAACCACTTATACTTATAGACCAAATCATAAGCAACTATCAAAAAATATTTACACAAGGGAAAACATTTTGCAACGATGAAACCATGGTGCTGTTTCAGGGATGTATACTCTTCAAGTAGTATAATCCACAAAAGTGTCATAAATATGGCAATAAAATATTTAAATTATGTACTGGGAATGGTTATACGTGGAACCTAAATATTTATGCAGACAAAGACAAGCAAGGTGAATTAGCAGCATCTACCAGTATCTTTTTCTTCTTCTTCAGCCTTCATTTATCCATTGTTGGACATAGGCCTCCTCCAATTGCTTCCACGCTTCCCTATCTTTTGCAATTCTCATCCACTGTTTTCCAGCTACAGCTATTATATCGTCTATCCATCTCTTTTTGGGTCTCCCTACACTTCTTTTTGTTTCTCGAGGTCTCCAGAATGTCACTTTATGAGACCATTTGTTGGTGTCTTCTCTTGCTACATGTGCTACCCTTTGCCATCTTAATGTCGCTATTTTTCCCATGATGTCGGTAACTTTAGTTCTTCGACGTATTTCGGTGTTAGGAATTATATTTAACATGGCCCTCTAAGGTGGCGTAACTCAACGGGTCATGGAGAGGGCCATCTACCAGTGCAGTGCTAAAATTGTCGCGAGGTCCTCTTCTTTGTCCTCTGATCCTTCACCATATTTTTTTTATATTCCGTAGACGTTGTGTTCCATCTGTTTTGAGAAGGTTTGCCAGTGTTTCCTTTTTATTTGTCTAACTAAAGTATTCGTTTCATTTCTGATTCGTTTATAATGGTTGTATGCCTGTTGTGTTCTGTATTGTAAAAAGGTATTCTTCTTTTCTTCACATTTTGTCTTTACTTACTCTCTAAACCATGGTGTTTTATTTTTTTATATGTTAGTGTTTGTTACTTTCCTCTGTCCGAGTGATTCTGTTGCTGCGTTAATTATGTTCTATCTATCTAATTAGCCTTCTTCGGTCCATCTTTGGACATAGGCCTCCCCAATCCTTTTCCATTCTTCTCTGTCTGTCGCTACAGTCATCCACCTAGAGCCCACGTGCTTCTTGATATCATCTGCCCATCTTATTTGGGGCCTTCCTCTGCTTCGTTTATATTCCCACGGTCTCCAACTTATAAGAATTTTGTTCCATCGGTCTTCTTTTTGTCTTATATTGTGTCCGACAAATCTCCATTTTAATTTTGCAACTTCTTGTCTAACATCCCTCTTTTTTGTTTTCTCTCTTATCCACTCGTTTCTTTTTTTATCCATTAGTTTTATGTGTAACATTTGTCTTTCCATTGCTCTTTGAGCTTTTATGATTTTGTCCATGTTTGCTTTTGTAAATGTCCACGTTTGGGAACCATAATTAAGAACAGGGAGTACGCATTGATTGTATACTTTGGTCTTAAGATGCTGTGGATATCTTTTGTTTTTAAGAATGTAGCTTAGTTTGCCAAATGCCGCCCATGCCAGTCTAATTCGTCTCTTTATCTCTGCTGTTTGGTTCTCTTTGTTAAGTTTTATAGTTTGACCAAGATATATATAATCCTGAACTTGTTCTATTTCATCTTGTCCGATTCTCATTGTGATGTCTTCATCTGTATTTGTTATGGTTTTGGTCTTGCTGTAATTCATATTAAGGCCTATCTTTCCAGCTTCTACGTCCAGTTCTTTCATCATTTCAAATAATTCTTCTTTTTTATCAGTTATCAATACGATATCATCAGCATACCTTAGATGGTTCAAGCGTTGTCCACACATTTTTATACCTTTTTCTTCCCATTCTAATCTTTTAAAAGTATCTTCAAGAGCCTGATTGAAAAGTTTCGGTGATATTGTATCACCCTGTCTCACGCCTCTATTTATTTGTATTGATTTTGTTCCTTCATATACTTTAATTGTTGTTTTGGCTTCCTTATATATATTGGCTATTAGTTCCGTATATCTGTGGTCAATTCTGCTGTTAATCAAAGAACTTTTCACTGCCAATGTTCGACTCTGTCGAAAGCCTCTTCGAAATCTATGATCCCCATATATAGAGGAATTTGGTATTCATTTGCTCGTTCTATACGAAAACCAGCTTGTTCTTTCGACTGGCATCCATCGAATTTTGTCGTCAATCTATTGGTTAAAATTTTTATTAGGAGTTTATACATTATATTGAGGAGTGTTATAGGACGGTAGTTTTTTATATCTGCTTTATCCCCTTTCTTGTGTAGGATAATGGTTACTGATTCCTTCCAGTTGTTTGGGATTCTTTTTTCTTTTAACATCTTGTTAAAAAGGGGATGTAGAGTATTAATTACTACTTTTCCACCATATTTCAGCATCTCTGCAGTTATTCCATCTTTTCCAGGCGATTTGTTGTTTTTCATTTCATTTCTTTATCTTTAATTATGTTATTTTTGAGAAATTCCCAGCTTTCCTCGATGTTATCGTGATTTAATATTTCATTGCCAGCGTTCTTCTCTGATATTCTTTTTCTGTATAAGTATTCCGTTGATTCCGTATTTAGTAATTAGACTTTGATTTTTGTTTGTGTTGACGCCGCTCTCTTGGTTGTGAAGTATTTCAGGATGAACTGGATTTCGGGATGGCTGGGATGATTGCGGAGTGAATTCAGTAGCTCTGCGGTTACCACAACCGGTCCCAAGCCTGGATAAAATGTGGAGGATGATTGGCAAGGTTAGCAACCTACCAATCGCAAAAATAAATACTGCTCAAAGAAACAATGACTCATGATTGAACGAATAAATTGAGAAAAAAAAAACAAAATATAAAGTTTTGAAATAAATTCTCAATATTTTTTTCGTATAAAAAAAAAACGAGTCCACCGATTAAAAATCTCTTCGTTTAACAATGAAACAATACTATGAAGATGAACTGTGCAAAGTTTCAGCAAAATCGGTCGATTCCTTAAAAAACAGGTTCACTAAAAAGTTTAGAGAAAAACGCGTTTAAATTTTTTGAAATTGACCGCGCAGCATTCAAAACTCTTTAAATCCGGTAACATTGATTGAATTTACTTCAAATTTAGTATGAATACTCTTGAAGTACTATACTTTGATATGAAATATATTTTTTATTTTTTCAAAATACAAGACCTATGTAACTCCCTATGTGCTTTATTGTATCATGTACTACCAGTATTTAAGGGTTTTCCGGCAAAATAATATTTTCTGCTTCAAGAAGTAGTGAATTTTCCTGCTTTAAAAAATATGTATAGAACATTAAGAAATAAATAATAACTTACCCAAATTGGCACAACATCTTCATTATAATGAAACATTTCTGCACCTTTTTTTACAACCTTCTGTGTAGCTGCGTCAAAATAACTGGCTCCAATCACTCCATGCGTTTCCGCAAATACTCCAGTAGCTATTGAGAAATGATTGGGAAACGTTTTTGTAGGAAATATGTTTACCATGTAGTCTGCGTAAGTTCCTGCTTTCCTCAGACTTTCCATATTTGGCAGTAGTTTGGTGTCAAATAGATTATACCTGAATGCGTCGTAGGAAATTACAATAAGGATTGGATGACGGGAAATACACCACACAACGTTGAGAATGGAACAGGATAGAATTATTTTTAATATCATTATGGTCAATTTTTATTTCTACTGCAATTCTAAAAAATACAATCAATATTAGGTTAGGTTCAATATAAAAGGGCGCTTAAAGGGCGATTAATAACCAGTTGACCTAAGAGGTCTATTGTGGCTAACAATCAATATTGAATAAATAGATCTTTTAGCATATATTCTAGACAAATATAAAAGAAACGTTTACTAAATATATTATACTGAGCAAAAAGCAATAGATCCAGTTTTAGACATTTTTTAAGTAGATACTACAAAGTACTTAGTTTAGTTCAATTTATATTGTGAACTATTATTTCAGGCAATGTGATTTAAATCCAATATTTTATTCAGTTTAAATACCTTAAAGGGAGTTATTTGTACAGTTGCATCAATCACTGCATGTTAATTTACTAAAATGGAAGACGTAATATCTAGTGTTTGTGTAAAAGATGGTAACAAGGGAAGTCGAAGAAAGAGAATGTCTAAAGTGTCTAAAAGATCGGTTAAAAAAGTAAAAACCCATTAACATTTATTATTCCTAACGGTTTAAACAGTGATTTAAATTATTTGTAGGCATGAAGATAAGATCAGTTACTAAAGAAGTTTAAGAGGCCATGTAATCATTCAGGTAACAGCTTTAAATGCACCAATATTAAATTATCTGATATAAGACAAATAATGCAATATTTTTACGCTACGACTGATAAATCAGAGCAAGATACCAAACTATCTAATATGATAACTGTTGGTCCCGTAGAAAGAAAACGAGGTATTAAGCCCAACCCTCGCTCTCGCTCATTTAATACTCTTTATCATGTAAACCCCCATAAAGGGTACCAGACCCACAAGTGTTTGTCTAAAATTCTTGTCAACAGCTCTAGGAATCAGTGAGCGAAGAGTGAATGTATGTATTTACAGCGTTAACAGGCCTTTTTGGCCCATTGCTGGATGGATAATTTCCATCGTTTTCTATTCTTACCTAACTGCTTCCAATCTCTGATTTCCATCTCTCTGACATCTTCCATCACTACATCTCTCCATTTCTTTCTTGGTCTCCCTCTTTTTTTTGCCCTCAGGTACTTTCGACTGACTTTTGCCCTCTCTAATATTCTTGACTAGTCGCATTTCCTGGCTTCAAAATTTACGAAAGTGGTACTCGTATAACACGACTACCACTGAACTGTTCCGCGCTATAGTAAACAAAGTAAAGATGCCGTGATGATCGTCAACATCCGGAACGGATAGGCACTTTAAGAAGAAGAATGGCTTTTACAATAGAAATTATTGCTAGGTCCACAGAATCTCTGATCGAAGCATTTCGATGATTAAGAGCGTCTTCACTGAGAATGGGATTAAAAATAAACGCACAGAAAACCAAGTATATGTATTGTACTAGATCAGGCAGATACCTAGACTATTAATTGATGATCTGGAACTGAAAGGTGTACACACCTTCGTCTACCTGGGCTCGCTGCTGACCAAAGACAACAATGTCAGCGAAGAACTTAAAAGAAGAATAGTGATGGCCAATAAGTATTATTATGGCTTAAGGAAACAGATAACCCCAAAACTAAGCTACAACTTCGAGTTATACAGAAGTTTTGGGGAACCTGACGTTGTAAAATGTATTAAATTAGCACACCTTCGATGGATAGGACATCGAAATGGAAATTAGGGGAGATGAAGATGCAACGATCAGAAAAATTTTCGAGCGAAAAGGACCAGTGTGAAGACGATCCAGAGAAAGACCAAAACTTAGGTATCAAGATAACATAGAGGATGATCTAAAATCCATCGGAGTTAAAGCATGGAGAAGAGTTGCCAGAGACAGGGGCGAATGGAAGATTGTTCTGAAGAAGGTTTTGGCTCATGACAAGCTGTAATGCCACTGATGATGATGATGATGATGATGAATGGCTTTTACACTACGATGGAGAAAGCAACGGGAGACTCTTCCCTAGTATAATCATCATGACATTTAACATGCAAGATAAGGCCCTCAGTCCGCACAGACTATTGATAGTGAGAGAACCTCAGGAATAAATTTAAGAATTGGAACGTAGAACTTGAAGTCTTTTTTTCAGTCACTATTCACGAAATTAGTAAGGTCACTATGTGATCGATTACGAGTGGTATCCGCATTGATCTATGTACCACTTAAATGGCAAAATATGTAGAGATGTCTTGTTGCACTCGGATTTGAGTTTTAGCAGGGTCTAGCCAGGTTGTTGCTGAAAACAACAACAACTTTGCTGCAACAATAGTACCTACGTACCTACTTACCTACTTACTTACCAAAGTAAGCGGTGCAGAAGGGGAACGTTGGCAGAAGTAAAGAAGAAGACTTAAATTTTTTGTAAATATCTGTGCAATGCATATGTTATTAAAACAATAAATTTTTATGTTTTTATTTTTTATTTTTATATTTTATTAGTTCCATGCATGCTTGCTGATAGTAGACAATCTTACTCGTGTGTCCTCGTAATATTGCAATCTTTGGCATTTTTCAATATCTCCAAAATACCCACATATTTATACAAACTGTTTTTATTCCTTCGTATTATTCAGTAAACAATGATTTTAAGAAATGTTTATATTTATTTAACGATATAAATTCTGAAAATGTGGGTAACGTAAAATTTTAAGTCAGATAATGCAAAATAAAAACAAGCTAGTTTAAATCAATAAACACTAAAACAAGTTTTTGTTTAACGTATGTACAGTATAGTTTATAAACAAAGAAATTTTAATGTGAAAATTGGAAACATTAGTTGCTTGAAAGCAAATTATACATGTATATATACGTACAGTGAGGTAGCGGGTAGTACACTTTTACAGTTCCCATAAAGGATAGACTACTTCAGGGCTTGGCAACCCTGCCCCTACGCCAGATAGTGTTTCTCCTCTAAGCTCTTCCCATAGGAGAAAACAGGTCCCAATCATGTACTCCATCTAATCCCCATATATTCTTCCCTTTTCAAACCTCGACCGGAAAGTCGTTATATATTCCTGATTGAGGGCAGCAGCGACCGGCAGTACCAAGATGAGATACATAGGAAATGATGATAGACTGGCTTATCATTGTATTTTTACAAGCAGAGCTGTATCATCAGAATGATTATGATACGGCGATGCAATAGGGCAGGGAAATCTATTGCATTACCATTCCCAAGAAAGTTATTCGTGATGTCTAAGAGAATGACTCGGATGCTGTTACGCAGTCCAGCGCTACCTTGATTCCGGTCAAGAAGTGCGAAATTGGCCACCGGTCAGGCAAATGTACCCAACCGGTCATGTTGAAATTCAGCTATTGGTTCACTGAAATTAAAACTCAGAAACTTAATGTCGGTGCGTGGAACGTACAAGCGTTAAAGACAATCACAGGTAAGTTGTCGATTATTGAAAGAGAACTGGCAAGCTATAACATTGAAATATCTGGACTAGCTGAAACGCATTGAGAGAGGGCCATTTTAGAACACACAATGGCAATAATGTTTACTTCTTTAGTGGTGAGACCCAGAACTATACAGCTGTCGCCATTCTGATCTTATCAAGAATACAACAATTTGTCGTCGAGTTCAAAGCTGTGAGTGATCGGATGGTTCTTTTTAACCTATAAGGCGAACCACATAAGTTCAATATCATACAATTTTATGCGCAAACCAGCACAACAGACTACATAAAAATCGATGAATTCTACGAAAATTTGGAAACAACAATTTGTAACATTCCAAATAAAGAGCTAACCTTAACATGCGGTGACTTTATCGCAAACACTAAAGAGAAATTGGAAATGTTCGGCATATCCAGAGAAACAAAAGAGAAGGCCGCTTAATCGAATTTGTTATCACAAATAACTATTCTATTATTAATACTTGATTTAAACACCATGTACGCCGACTGAATAATTCAGGAAAAGTCCTGAAGATAGTTCTAAACATAAAATTGACTACATCCTGACTAATATTCGCTGTAGATTATCAATCCAAACAGTCAGATCATATAGAGGGACGATATGCGGATCACATCATACTCTCCTTATAGCTAAAGTAAAGCTCAAACTTAAAGTGCCCAACAAACGAAGAAGATAGAACTAAGAAAAAAGGACGACCTTCACCAAGAAGTGCATAAATTATGCCCTCTATTGGTAAGGGTACATCAGAAGAAATATGAGAAATATTGTTTAACAACACCAATTGATCGCCCAATGGTAAATAATTCTGTAAAACAGTAACATTGGAAGAAATTTTGGTCGAAGTGGTGTACATAGTGAAAGAGAAAAAGCTAGTTTAGAGACCTAAAATAGACATAGATTTAGAAAAATACGCTTCATAACAAGAGACTTTAAAGCCAGAACGTGGGCCGTTGAAGACCACACATGGAGATTATATTGCCGGGATCTATATAAACATGACCACATGCTGTGTAATAGTAAATTATATTCTTGTCTTAGTATTTCTTCTTCGGCCTAGCCAGAGAAGTTTCCATAGAAAATTTCTGACACATCTATGAGCCTTCTATCTTTCTCTATGGAAATTTAATATTTAGCAGCGTATAAACACCAAGAAAAACCAAACTACTTACGAATATTTAATGGTGTTTTATGAGTTTTTAATGGTTTTTACAGATTTACGTTAATTTAACCATATCGTTAGATATCAAGGTAAGAATTGTTGTTATCGAAAGAGCTTAAGAAAACATGATGAATAAATCTAAAGATATCTGCAATTAATTAGAGAAAGTTATAAGAACATGGAAAATATTGAAACCATAATAAGGGATCAAGAAATGCATTTAGTGCAACCGTTTTATCACAATGGCATAAATATAAGACTGCTGAGACCATAGTTGTTCTCCGTATTATTCTTCGGGATGAAACAGCACAGAAAGATATAATAGATATATTGGACGCCTCTGAACATGTACTGTGGACTTACAGAAAAATAAAGAGAATAAATTAGAATAGAATAGAATTATGCTTTATTGTCACTGAAAATTGTACAATTTTATGGTCAAAGCTTACAAAAAGATAATAACAATAAAAAGAAAAAAATTAAAGATAATAAAATATACAATAAGTTTAGGTAAAATAAAAAGAGAAATCATACGATTTCTACCTGGCGAAAAGTAGTGGCTATACCGTACTGAGGAGACCTAAAGAGGTCGAAATATGTATATGCGGCTTGTCGCTGCTCTGTATCAAATCAAAATCTAATACCGTCATTGTGTTTTAAGTAAAATACTTTGTTGCTTGTACCTAAACGTACTGTAATTTCTTAGTTATTCGTTAAGAAACTCTTCTACTAAATAATATGGTCTTTCAGATAGATAGGCTTTTGTCAATTTACGGAACTTAAGAAAAGAGAATTAAGTTTTAAGTTGCAAAGTAAGATGGTTGTATAATTTTTTTGCCGAATGTGATATAGATTTCTATACTAACTCAGTGGGCGGGATCAGTAAATACATATCAAAGGTTGAATTTCTGATGGAGTCGTCGTGAGTAGGTCTTGCTTGAAAAACAAGAGTAGGTGTTTACAAATTAAGCAAACGGTTTCTAGAATATATAAAGTAGAAAGAGTTAAAACCGTGATTTTTGAAGTAGCTTCTGCAATGTGTTATTGTACCGAGGCCAAAAAGATACGGTATTGCTCTTTTTTGTAATTTAAAAATAACATCAGATTGGGCAGCTGTACTAGGCCGACAAAAAAAAAGGCCATATCAAATGAGACTCGAACAAAGAATGTTATTTTAGAAAATGCTAAATTGATTGCGTTCAAAACAGATCTTATTGCATAGCTGGCTGAGACTAGTTTCTTACTTAACAAATCGATATGATGGGACCACTTAAGGCTGCTGTCTATAAAAATATTAAGAAATTTTACAGATTCAACGATACTGACCTGGCTGTTATTAAAAAGCAAGGGTTGAAGAGCTCCTTTATAGGATAATGCTACTGTCTTATCTACCTTAAAAGAGAGTAAATTAGAGTCGTATCAGGTTTTTATTTTAAGTAGATCAGAAGTTATAATTGCATGAAGAGTTACAATATAAGAGTTCCTCCAGGTAGTACTGGTATCATTAGCAAAAAGAAAAAAATTTATATCGATTTTTAAGTTCTCTTCTTTTTACGGTGCCTTATGCTTAAGGACGTTGGCCATTACATTTGCCCATTTAATCTTATTTGTAGCAGCCCTGAATAGTTCTATGGAGGTCATGTTCATCCATTGCCGTAAGTTTTTAAGCCAAGAGTTGCGTCTTCATCCTGGTTCTCTTTTGCTATTGACTTTGCCTTCGATTATAAGTTGGAGCAGTTCATACTTTTGATTTCTTATGATGTGACCAAAATATTGTGTTTTCCGTCCTTTTATTAAAAGCATAAGCTCTCTTTCCTTATTCATCCTCCGCAAGACTTCCGCATTTGTCGTATGGCTCATGTAGGATATTCTGAGCATTTTACGGTAACACCAGAGTTCGAATGCTTGGATTCTTTTTTGTGTTGCTTCTGTCATTGTCCAGGCTTCAACACCATAGAGCAAGGTGGAGAAAACATAGCACTAAGTATTCTAGTTCTCAATGAGATGCCCAGCTGGCGGTTACATTTTTAAGTTAGTGATGTCATTTATAAAGATAAGGAAAAGTAGAGACCCAATACTAAACCTTATATGTATACTGTGGTACTCCACATAGAAAGTTTTTGTGACTAGAATCAGTATCATTTGCTCTAACTAGTTGTTTCCTAGATAAAAAGTAAAACGGACTTTGTGATAAAATATTGTTTTCAATGAGAAATTACATAGATCGGGTTTTTATAGGTCTCCGGCAAATAATTTTGGATAAGAGGAATAATAATGACTGTCTTTAGGCACTCTGAAAATATACCTGTTTCAAATGAATCGTTAATTATTGAGACCAGCACTTCCAACACATTTTTTGGGAGATTTAAAAAAAAATTTATGGATAGTCCATCAGTACTACAGGAATATTTGCTTTTGATACTACTAATTGTTTGGATACAGTTCAGATTTATCAACTGGTCTTTTATTCGGTTTTCAACTCCCAATTCATAAAGAATGAATTCGAGCCCTTTTTTGAATTGGGAGATAGAATATACGATCTTTTTGTGGCAAAATAGTTGATGTTATATTTTTACTCACATTGACAAAATATTCATTTAGATTTTCAGGATTTGGAAGAGAAACCGTTTGAGCTGTGTTAGTTTTATTTCGAAGATCGTTTATTATGGACCAAGTTTTTCTTGCAACATTCTTAGAGCTTCCCAGACGATTCTGATAGTACATTTTTTTAGCTCTTTTGATAAGTTTTAGATAGGTTCCTCTATATTTGGAGATATATTCAGTGACAAAGAAGTTGGTAGTAAATTTCTTGATGTATAGTAGTGAACGCATGTTCTTGGCTGATATGCGGATACCTTTGGTGATGTTTTGACTTAACTGTAATTAAAGGAAATGCCTTATTGAAAATACAGACAAGCTTATCTAAAAAATCACTGAAATTATTCGGTAGAGGGAAAATGCCATCCAGAAGTCAAGCACAATTTTGGAATTAACTAAAGTTCCGAGCGAAAAAAATCCTACCTAAACTTTGGGTTTTCGAGGGTTGTTTATTTAAGTGTGGTAAACTTGGTATATACTGCTTTGTGATCAGATAGTCCTGCAATTATAATTTGAGAGCGTAGAAAATGAAGTTTTGGACACCAAGAAGGACAGAAATCAAATAATAATGCTAAAAATAAATATAGGAAAAACAAAGGCCAATTTCCCTGTTGAACAATTTTCAGCGAGGCTAGAGTAAGGCTAGGTCAGTTACAGTTAAAAAGTAGATAATAACTCAAAAATCTTGCAGTGAGTAATATACTTTTTTCTTAAATACGATTATCTTGATTTTTTAGAACAGTAGAATCAAAAATAGGAATTTTAGTAATGATCATTAACTTTCTTAGATGATATGACATATATAGAAGAAGAAGGTATCTTCCGTAGTTCAATTTAAAGTTTTATTTATTATGTCGTTATGTAGTTATTTTTTTAACTGGACATTGAAATGCTAGATAAAGCAATTATTTTACAATGTAATTATAGTAGTTTCTCCTAATAAACTTATAACTTTATCAATATTTGTAAAAACTGTTTAGTTTGTTACTTAATTAACATTAATATACATGTTAAACTTACGATAAAATTGGTCTTTTAATAAGAATAAGTAATAACTTTGTACCCCGATTTCCTACACTTATTTAACAAACACACAAATAACAAAACACTCACTGTATTACTTCTTCTTTGTACAATTATTTAATAGTTTTCTAACGACTTAATGACACAAACACATCTAACCAACTAACCAAATAAATTAACAATATTGTTGGTTTTTTGTAAAAACCGAAGGTTCCTTTTAATAGTTTGAATGCCATGTCAATTAATTGAAATGTATGAACATTATCGTCGTTTAAACATTTCTCAAAATCGTTAAACCGATAAATCGAATTACGATAAGCAACATTAGATATGGGTCAAAATTAATGTCTATTTAATTTTGATAAGGTTAAGTTACACTGTTTTGATATAAACAAGGATGATTCGTTGAAAAGTGAGATTTTTGAAATTTTGCGTTGTGAAATCTAAAATATGTATGGTGATGCTGGACCTGATATTAAATAAGACCACAATCCATCCTACTTAAACTACTTAAATTCAAACAAGTTCTTCAATCAAATTGAAACTTCTGAGTTCTACCTTTCTTGAAACAAAAAAGGAAGTCATTGTAAAAAATGAAATAACAGAAGAAGCTGAAAAAATCAAATAAATGCACCAGATGAAGAAAAACTATGCGAAATCGAACTCACTATAATTTAATAACTTTAAATGTATTTCATAGAGGGCATTTTAGCAAGGAAGAGTGTTTTTTCACAATTATTATCTACAAAGCTATTATCCCTGAAATGCAAAGATAGGGGAGAGTGAGGCAACAAAATGACCTCGGTAACATTTTTTTAGGCTAAAAATAACAAAAAACGAAATAATTAAGTAAAATTTAATCAAACAATAAGAGGGGTATAGCAGAGCATATTTCTGTGAAAAATTATAGGTGGGGAGAGGTGGGATGGTTGATACCTATTTTAGTGTTTAAAGATTATTCCAGATCATAATAGTTATTTTCTTAATTACAATAAACAGGTTCATAATGTGGTTATCTCCTTCCACTCGGTGTTCACCAAGAATCTCTTTCTTGTAGAACAAATAAGGTAGATCAGTTCATGTAAAGCACTAGTGCGGTTCAAGAATCCCTGTCCATGAAGGATACTTGATCCCCGTGAGGGGGCTACTTGATCCCTGGGATAAAGTATCCCACCTACATAGTATAAGTAATTATTGCCAATTATGGAAGGTAATTAAATTAAACAATGAAACAAATTAAACTGCCTACTTTATTAAATAAAAACATAAAATACAAAAATAATTTGAGCCAAAAAAGAACAATTATTTAGAAAATATTATCATCAAATCTATGGTTAAATTTTATAATGTCAGCAGTCCTGGCCGTTCTGCTGACGGACGGCGGCGGCAGCTTTTGTACGTTTGTCCGGTTCATTTCGCTGACGTTCTCTACTGTTGGGAAAGTGAAACATCTTCCTTCTAGTCCCTTCCGCCTTAAGAATTTAACTTCCAATGTATTTTCTTTTAGGCACAAAACTTTTCCAACATAAAACTTTATTGTTCTTTTTTGTACAAAACTTGACTAAAACGTAGTCGTCTGGCTCAGTATCAGTGTCATCAATACGCTCATCATCTAAAAAGGAAATCAGAGCCATAGCTGCTATCTGGAATACTGGGCTGTCATCCTCTTCATCAGTCGAATCAAAAAGTTCAGAGTGTTTCTAAGTGTTGGAAGCTTTTCTGCTCTTTTCTTATTGATTGCGACTTTCTTAAGAACAAGTTCTTCAATTTTCGCTTTTTCAGAGGTATCAGTTAGGATGCGAGAGCGCCCATGTTTTCTACCTCGAGAAGATTGCGAACGAGGTGCTGCCTTGGGATAGTGATGTGTTGTGGAGAAAAATGTTTCACAGACATTATATCCCATGTTCGAGTGCAAGGTTTTAAGGCCATAGATAACGATAGTTCTATAGAAATTGATGTACCAGCACTAGGCGTTGACTGTATTGGATCCAGAACTATTCCTGAATATATATTGGATCCAGAACTATTTCTATATATTCCTGAATCAAAGTTTGGTCTGGACGGTCCGTGACAGCGCTGGTCATAAATTCGTCGCCAGTAAACATGTTTGGATTTATCGGCCATATTCCAGATACTTTGAACCGACTTATGATATTAGAAGGAGCCATGGCTCGAGGAAACGCATCTCCAAGCAGTTCTGCAATGTCGTAAATGGTAATAGTTCTCCCGGAAAATTTGAGCATAAAATTGTAAGCTGCTTGGGAGAAGTAAGTCTTTAGTGGACCAAAAACCGCGCGGTCCAATGGCTGCAACTTATGCGGCGGAATTGTAAGAAATACGGTGCCGTTGTCTCTCGCATAATTTACAGCCTCCAATGAGCAGTGGCTCTCATTGTTGTCCATAACAATTAAATGTTTCCGATCTAGGCTTGGCTGAGCGAAACGAACAGAGTGTTCCAAAAACTTCAGAAAACCAGAGCAAGTCATTCATCCACTGGGATATGTTGTTGCATTGCTGCTAGAAGGTGCTTGGCTTAGAAACTTGTAATGCCAGTTTAGTCTGGGAAACATCATGTAAGGAGGCATGTGACTTCCTGTATAATTGATGCCAGCACACACGGTAACCAGTTCGCCTCGTTCTGCAGATGTAATTTTGCCCACCTGCTTAGACCCTTTCACAGCAATTATTTTAGCGGGTTTGTGTACTGTAGTGAGGCCAATTTTGTCAATATTCCATATTCGTTCAGGAGGAAACTGGTACCATGTATAAACATTTGTTGATTGATTAAAGAATGTACCAACTGTGTGACGATTAAAAACTGAGCTTCGTGCCAAGCTTGTGGCTTCTGGTGTTCTTAATGAGAGCGTAGGTTTTCTATGAAGAAAACTTCGGTACAAGTCGCGGCCAGCTAGTTTTGTTTTATCCCAGGTAGGGGTATATGATATCCTATTTGTTGCAGCTTAGGAGTATGCCAATTTGCGCAATTGCACCACAGTAAGACCGTAATATCTTACATATCTTAATCTTGGACATATCTTTCGAAAACATACCATAAGTTCTTTTTCCTGGTCAAGTGAAAAAACCTGGCGCACCTAGTTACCTGGGAGAGATATCATGTTTTTTCTGCACAACCTCTTCAATGTCATGACATTTATTCCGAACTGCCTAGCGGATGCTTTGTGGCTTCCTTCATTTTTACCGTATTTACAGCCGCTTTAACATTTTCTGCATCAGGTGGAACTCTTTTCGTTGTTCCTATTTTAGTTGAGTACTTACGTGGCATCTGAAAAAATAAACATGAATATAATAGGATCAAATATCCCCCATTTAATAGGATCAACTATCCCTGCAATGACATTTTTCTAACAAGTGCAAGTTTTAGGTTAAAACAGTTTAAATATCAATGTTTTAGTATTTAGTGGATAAAAGTACAAATGTTTCACCTATTTTGGGCAGTATAATTATAAACTAAACGAATTAAAGTTGGTATATCTTACCTCGCACACGTAAAATAAAGTTTCCATGTCACAAAATAGAATAATCTTGATTAAAATGTCAAGCGTATTTTGAAGTAGCAGCCATTTGGCAAAACAAAGTAAACAGTATAGCCTCCACCTGAGTGGGTCAACAGAACAGTAATAGTATATTATTGGGCGCCAAATTTAAATGGAGATCAAGTATCCCACCGGGATCAACCTCTCCCTTATTTAAATATGCAATTAAAAGAAAAATAACATCATTTTTGAAAAGCTCTAAAGGGACCATTTTAAACCATGGTTCATGAGGTAAAATGGCCCGAAATGAGGCAACAGGACCAGAAGAGCATTCCAAAGGACAAGAAGGCAAGAGTTCAAGGATTACGGAGATGAACAATCCGAAGAAATAAAAATAAGACTGAGAAGTCTCACAGAAAACAACCTGCTCAACAACATCAGGAAAACAGAAAAAAAACATGGAAACGTATGGAAAAAGCTAAAGGCCCAACGAAGAGGAAAACAGAAGATGCCGCAAATAATAGATGACGAGGGAACACACTTCGATACCCAGGAAAAAGTCGATGCAATTGCAAGAAGAATGGTAGCAACACACAGGCAAAACCAAAACATGTCAGATGCAAGAACCACCGAGAAGGTCAACACAGAATACGAGAGGATAAAAAGAAGAAACGAATTTTTAGTAGAAAAAGAAGGCTTCATAAATCCAACAGAAGTTGCTAGAATCATCAGAACATTAAAAGGAAGCAGAGCTCCAGATACCTAAGAAATCCACAACATAGCTCTCAAGGAACTACAAAAGAAGATAGTATTACAACTATACTATATCTTCAAATTCTGCCTGGGAAAGCGCATTTTCAGAACTACTGGAAACGTGCAAAGATCATCCCCCTACTAAAACCAAATAAGGACGGAAGAAGATCGGAAAGCTACAGACCAATATCACTACTGGCAACAACAGGCAAAATCCTGGATACAATCATCTACAGAAGACTGATAAAATATGCAGAAGGAAGAAAAATCATTCAGTCAACAGTCAAGGGAACGATTTTATTATTCATTGTCCAAAAAAATGTCTATGTTTCTTGATAGTGGAGTTATAGTCGAAGTAGGAGTTAGTACTAAGGGTTGGCTAAGGTAACTGGATTTGAAATTGAAGTCGATAGTTATAGGAGTTGATACAGCGAAACATATAGTATTGTTTTTAATAGATGAAAAATTAAGACAACCAATAATTTTTCTTTATTGCCTATTTCTTTTCTAATCTTTGTTATCATTTTAAAAATGGTCAAACGTCATGGCTAAAAGTTTATTATTTTCAAAGTAAACATTTGATGGTTTTATTAGTATAAATCTTTCTTCACGTTTTAAACAATTTTTTAAAGAAATTTAGCAAAAATAAAATGATACAGGACTTAGACGTCCCTTAAATGCTAATAAAATGCAAGCAAGGTAAAAAGATGAGAAAGATGCATAAAAATGGAGCAATACATGGTTTATCTAGTGTATTATATTGCTGTTTTGCGCAAGGGACATATTGCTCTCAACATTCAATACATTTGGATAAATTAAAAGGTCTTCTGGTCGACTTTGTCAGTTTTTTAACCTCCATATTTTACCAAGAATATTCTTATCGACTTGAATTAAATTTCTTTTAGCAATTAGTCACCGTTAATAGAAAATCTTTTTAAATAGGAAATAGAAACATGACCAGTAGAAACAGTAGAGCATCAGATAAGTTGGCATCATTTTTATTATATGGACACATA